CAGTTGGCGACATTTCCACCCTAAGCCCTACCCATAGGCCCCATAGTAGTTCCTCTATGGTTCCTTTATGGGGCTCATAGAAAGACTGTTGTAAGGTAATCCCCAAAAAGAGCTACTTTTGGGGCCTATGGGTAAGCTCTAACCCTGCTACAGGATCTGAATTTGGACGGAGAGCAGACCGTGGAACATTCATGAACTCAAGGCCATCGAACATGCAACAGAAATCTACAAGCAACAAAGTAACACAGTATGTTCGTGATAAAGGGGCCAGCATGGAGCGAATTCTAAGCCCCCTCAAGAACACCTTAATTACCCTAAACCCTAAACCCCAAACCCTAAAACCCTAAACCCTAAAACCCTAAATTCGAGTCTGTTTTGCCCTGTCAAGGAGTTGAGCATGAAGACGACAGCCGTTCCCGGCCTGGGCAGGTGCTTCGCACAGCAAACCATGGCAACTCGTCCCCGTTAAAAGGGTTTAGGGTTTTAGGGTTCCTTTTGAAGGGTTTAGGGTTTAGGGTTTTAGGGTGCCTTTTGAAGGGTTTAGGGTTTAGGGTTCTATGAAACCCAAGCCCTCGCTGTAACAGCCTAAGCCCAAGCTGTCCGAACTCAAAAAAAACATGTCATTCGCGAATCTTTGCTGAAGCCAAACATTCGCATGCTATCAAGCCTATACAACAACTCGCTAAACCCAAACCTGCAACCCTAAACCCCAAACCCACAAACCCTGTAAGGTCAGCGCCCCATCTTGGCACCAATTTTGTTGACGGCCTGCTCGTCCTCCCCCGGGCTTTGGCCGCTTTGGCTCTACAGGGGGTCTAAGGGTTTACAGTGCAAAGCTTCGTCCGTGTGTGTCTGGGTCTCCGGGATGGGGAGTTCTATGGACATGTGCGAGCAAACTAAATACCAATCCCCAAGCGAAGACGAATAGCCACATTCACACATACACTGCATACGCTGCATACATGCATCCATGCATGCCTGCATCCATGCATCCACGCATCCATGCATCAATGCATCTAATCCCCCCACCCCCCACCCATGCCCTCCGACCCACCCACCCAGCCAGCCAGCCAGCCATCCACGCATACATGCATACGTAACTACATGCATACGGACATAAACGAATGCATACATCCACATGTGCATGCATGCATGCATGCATGCATGCATGCAGACATACATACATACATAAAGGTACATGTACATGCCATTGCATAAATGCAAATATGAATGTGTATGCAGGTTGTTTGCTCCTACATGCACCATGCATTCCTATGAGCTCATGTGCAAAGTTGAGAAAGTGCCAAAGGCAACCCTTCACCAAAACGACAGAAACGTGAGCATCTGTACCTTTGTGTTCGTGTTTATATTTTATGTTCATTCTTATGTACGTAAGCATGTATGTATAAAGGCATAAGTGTATGTGTATGTGTACGTGTATGTGTGTGTGTGTGTGTGTGCATGTACGCGTATGGGTATGTGTGTGTGTGTGTGTGGAAGTGTGTGCGTGTATGTGTATATACATACACATACATAGATACATATGCACAGTATAACCTCGCAACCCCTTAAGCCCCCAGACCCTCAGCCCTGCAAACATGCTGGAGCTTGCTGAGATGCTGACTGCGATCATGGACAGCTCCCGCAGAAACTGGACGCTCTTTGTCTCCCTGGACAAGCTAGAACCCACAGGGTCCCTTGTACTGTTATGGGGGGTACTACCCTAAGTCATAATAGTAATTCCTAATATGGAAACCCTACATTCTACTATATCGGTACATAGGATGCTTTGGGAAAGGGCGCCCATAGCCCAAAAGCTTGTTCTTAACAGCGATGCATTTTCTTCGCCTCCTTGGGGGTTAGAAGCTTTGTCCTACGAGTGGAGCTCACTGGAAAGCTTCGGGGGTCGTCTGGTAGTTGATATGCACTTGATGTGCTTGGTTTGGACTGGCAAGTCTTACAGCGCGCATGAGTTGTGCTGCGGCACAACTCTCGTCCAGCCACGGCCACAGTTTTCACACTCCTCATGCAGTCGTCATTCATGCATCAAGACTGTCGCACGTCGCAGGTGAAACTGTGCTTGTGCTTGGGCTTTGGGCTAACTGGGGCCCGGATGGCCAACCCATCCAATTCTTCTGCGACAGCCGGGCCCAAAATAAGGTCAACCTTTTCAAAACAAAAAAACTATACAAGGCCAAAATAAGGGCAACCTTTCCAGAATAAACCAACTATACAAGGCCAAAAACCTTGAAGCTCTCCCATTGGCTATCAAAGTATTCAGGTGCTTGCACTGCACTCGGGGGGAGCCTGGCCTTCGGCTGTGTCTAGGAACCCTCCAGTCGAAGAAGGTGCGTTACAAGCATAAACACTAGACCTAAGAGTAACCTAGGAACAAAAAGGGTGCCCTTTTTGGGTTAAAGCAAGTTATAAGGGAACCTAAACCCTCAAAAAGGGAATAAGGGCCTACTCTGGGTCCTAGAACACCAAATTAGTAGCTGCCCCCACCCTGTAATAGTGGTATAATAGGAATATAATAGGGCCCTACTATGATCCTTATAGTCACTATTACAGGGTGGGGGCAGCCTCTAAAGCATAAACACCAAGGTCGGGGTTCGGGGGTTTGGGGTCCAGGGTTTATAAGACTTAAACTATGAACCGGTCTAGGACTTAGGGTTCAAACCCTGCCATGGATGAACGGTATCTATGTCAGAGACTCTAGCAGCAAACATCACTTCTTGGTGAAGGAAGGCTGCGGCCAATATCGCTGACCCTTCGATTTCCGGTGAAGAAACTCTCCAAGGCTATACCTCCACTTCTAGCCGCAGCCCTCATCGTAACTGTTACTGCCATATTTTTTATACTAGATTCAAACGAACCCTTAAACCGTTGGCCTAAACCCTAGCCTTAAACCCTGAACCCTACACCCCTAGACCCTAAACCCTGAACCCTAAACCCAAAACGCAGAATTGGACGCCGTGAGCCGGGCGAAAAGATGCGATTGCTGGCACGGGCTCCCGGCAACCTGGCTTCAGCTGTAGGGTCCCTTACGGGTACCTTCAAGGGTTCCTTTAAGGGATCTTTGGGGGATCCTTTAAACGATCCGTTAAGGGTTCCTTTAAGAAATCCTTTAAGAAATCCCTTAAGGGTACCTTGAAGGGTTCCTTTAAGGGTACTTGGAGGGGCAGGGGGCTTAGTAAGTAGGTTATAAGCAGGGTTATAATTGGGGTAACTCCATTTGGGGTACTTATAACTCTACTTATAATAACCCAATTACTAAGCCCCCTGCCCCTCCAAGTAAGGCACAGGGTCCCTTAAAGGCACCTTTCAGGGAAGGGTGTAGGGTGTAGGGTTTAGGGTCCTTTGGGTCCCTTACAGGTACCTTTAAGAGTAGGGTTTAGGGTGTAGGGTGTAAGGGTTTAGGGTTTAGGGTGCAGGGTTGAATTCAGGGGCTTTTGGGGGGGTATGGGGCTGAGAGAAGCGTAAAGTCTAAGGGCTTAGGGTTTGAGGTTCATTTTATAAGGCTAAGGTTTAGGACAAGTGCTACAGAAGGGAGGATGCGCTGCGAGCCCCTAAACCCTGAACACCTAAACCCCGAACACCTTAACCCCTAAACCCCCAAACCGCCAAACTCCTACACCCTAAGCCCTGAACCCAGCAACACTAAACCCTAATAAAACCCCGAACCCCTACACCCTAATTAAACCCTAAAACCCTAAACCTCTACAAATCCCTTATAGGAACCCTTCTGGATCCCTTTAAAGGAAACCTGGAACCCTGAACCCTAAAACGAGAGTAGCTGGCTGAGGCCCACGCGGCATGTATTCGCCTTCTGAGCCATTGCTGGTGCGCCTCGACAGTCTCGGATTCAGGGCTGGGGTCTCTTAAGGGGAACTCCAGAAAGTTGGAATATGGAATAATGACAGGATCCCCTATAATTTACCTTAAAGGGATTATGATAATGATATTCCAACTTTCCGGCTTCTACTGTAAGGTCTCTTACTTGGAAGGGCAGGGGACTTAGTAAGTAGGTTATAAGTAGAGTTATAAGTACCCTAAATGGAGTTATCCCAATTATAACCCTACTTATAACCTACTTACTAAGTCCCCTGCCCTTCCAAGTAAGGTAGCCTTAAGGATTCCTTCAAGGGTATAGGGTTTAGGGTGGGGTGTAGGGGTTTAGGGGGTTGAGGGTGTAGGGTTACCTAGGGTTTTACGCTTTTACTTGGGGTTTAGGATTGAATTGGAGTTTTCGAGGTACCTTTAAACAAAAGGTAAATGTACCAATTTTGTAGGGTGATATACCTTTTTCACTTTGTAAGTTGCCTTGGTTAGTCTAGGCCCAGTCTAGGCAGGATTAAAATTGCGGGATTGGGGTTTAGGTTCAGGGTTTGGGGATTAGGGATTTGGGTTTGTCTCGTTTTTGCTATACTGAAACTAGAACCTTAGCAAAAAATACAATTCTAGCTGTTTCTTTGGGATTTTCATAGCCAAAAATTAAAAACCTATTTCTAAGTACCCCTAATTTTTGTAGCTTTCTTGGTATCGTCCATATAGGGCCTCGCCAGGCCCTCGACTGAAGCGCCGAAGCCTTCAGACTTACCTTAACCTACCAGCTCCTACTTTTTTGTAGGGCCCCTATAAATCCCATAGTAGGGTTTATAATAAGAACCTACAAAAGAAGTAGGGTTTAGTAGGTCTAGGTACATCTAACCATGACTCAACGCTAACATTTGAGTAGGCATACAGTAGAGACTCATAGTGCCTAAAGAATTATGGCAGGCTAAAGCCTGTATACAGCCCATAGAAACCCTTTTAAACTATGGTAGCATCCTCATAACACCCTGCGGAGGATCCTAACCCTATTCCCTAAACCCCTAAACCCTGAACCCTAAACTGTAAACAGTAGTTAATGTAAGAACCTGATTAAGACACCCTGGCATTGTGGCCAATATAGTAGGATAGACCCAAGGTTTCTTAATCAGGTTCCTATCTTTCAGAGATTAGAGCTCTGGACATTGCAGGACGACTGCTTCGACTCTCAAGCGCAGAAGAGCTACCCGGCAGGCCTTCTGGCTGAGGGTCTAGGGTTTGGGGGGTAAGGGTGTAGGGTTTACATGCGCATGCGCAAGAAGATAACGAGAGGATAGATGGGTGCATACACACATACATACGTCCAGGCATATGGCATACACGTATGCAACATGCATGCATATGTGCATGCATGCCTCTACGGAGGGTGCCGGCTGGTGCCTGGAATGCGGACCACCCCACTGACCCTTTCACAACCCCATCTCTGTGCTGGTTGCCATCACCATCATGGCTTCTCCGAGATGGCAGCTGCGCGTCCCTGACACCTTTTCCCCGATAGCCCCTTGGCAATAAGGGTACCCTTCTTCCTACCGATTGGTTTTAATCAGGGACCGCAAACGGCAAAGGGCAAGCTGGCAGCCTTCGCCCACCCCATCTGTAATGGTGCCGGACGCAGGAGCTTCGCTAGAAACACTGCAGACCGAATACACGCTGAACCCCGGCAGATGAATTGAGATATCAGTACACCACCCTCAAGCGACCCACGTCGCAAGCATGCAAGAACCTGAAGTAGCCACGGCTACGCCACATCCTACATTCTGGGAACAGAACTCCAAGGCCAAAGCCTCAAACCACAAAACGCCTCCTGCAATCATTCCGGCAGCCAAAATCTTGCAATGTTCCATTCCAGCTCAGGACTCTCCCCTGCCTCCCCTCCATGATGGTTCAGGCCGCTGCCTTGCAAGACAGTCATGGGCAAATCACCGTAAGTGTCATCTTGCATGTGGTTGGGTGCTCATGTTGGCTTATGCTTCAAGCTGCAGGTCCTACTGGTGCTGTTGTTGCTGGTCGTGCAGCAGCAGTAGCAGTAGTAATTTGCAGCCGAAGCAGAAGTAGAAGCTGGTTGTCGTACTTACAGACTTCGTTACACAGTTACACACGCACACACAGGTTAGAATAGGGTTTTGGGGCCCATTATTTCAAAACCATAACAAGGAACCCAGAAAACTGTGTTGGTAATTATTTAGGCCCCTGCAGTACACTCAGGCAGGCACAAAACAGACATGCAGCAAGCAGGTGAGGCCTTTGCCTTTGTCTTGCACGGCCGGTGGACAGGCAAGATCAAGCGCTTTTGTCAGCAGACAATTCAGAGTATCTATGCCTCAAGCCCTGACACCTACAAGGCTTTCAGGGGCTTCTAAATGGGTTGCGAGGTTGGAGATATCACAAATCAGGAATGTTTCATGTGGGGGGTTCTGGGCTTGGGGACTTAGGGTGGTTTAGACTAGCGTTTACAGACTGCCTTCCGCCGTGGCCTACATCCAAGCACTCTGATCAAAGTGCATTCAACGCTGCATTTTGTTGGGATGCTGGGAGGCGCCAAACGGTTCAGGTTAGAGTCTCGATCACGAACAACACAGCAGATGCTCTGCGAACCATAGCTACTATCATTAAAAGAAAAGCCTATTGCAAGAGGAGCGAAGCATAGCTCTTACAACAGACGTGCTTGAGCCGATGCGGCAAAACCTGGAATCTAGAGCAGAGCACCGACATGAAGCTCTTCCAAGTCAAAGCCCCGGCTCCCAAAAGGAACATCACCTAAGGCTACACAATGCAAGCGGCATACCACGAAGCAACCACAAACATAGCATCTGTTGCACGGCTCGTACATATACGACCCATTCCTTCTCAAGGATACCTTCCGGTCCACCTTGACGTTCTTCAAGAACACACCCCAAATGGAGACGGTTTAGGGTTTTGGGTTTAGGCTGAGTTTTCAGTGTATATCAGCCACTGACATGACTTATTTGCAAATCTCGGAGAAACCCGGTCTTCGACCATCCACCGCGAACAAAACCCCTGACGACAAGCGACTGTACCGTCTCGTATCTTCTTTGGAGTTGGCTCGTTTCAGCTACGTGGGTAGTTGTCAAAATTAGGGTCCTTTTTGGCTCATTGTTATAATACGGCACCTGGTACCTATTATCTAGGGCACCCAAAAACGGACTCCAATTCTGACAACCACCCAGGTAGCTTGACAGTGCTAGTGCTTTAAGAACTCCTGCACTCGGGCTCGTAAACCCTTAACCCACAACCCCGAGATTCAGTCAGACCCTAAACCGAGCATGAGTTGTTCAAGACTCGGTTGGTTTTACCCATAGGCCCCATAGTAGTTCCTTTTTGGAGGTTCATATATAGAATATTATAAGGTAATCCCAAAAAGGAACTACTTTGGGGCCTATGGGTATCTTCATTCAGCCCTCACACCTCCTTGCAGCGTTTGCAGGCTTCGTCATGCAGTTTTCGTGGGGGTCATGGCTTAAGGTGAAAGAGGCCTGCTTCGGGGTCCTAAGGAAAGAAAACTCTCCATAGCGATAGAACCTCTCGAAAGCACCACAAACCCAAAACGAATAGATCCCCACCTGCAAACTTCCAAAATCCCACATCACGTATGAACCCCGCACCGGTAGGGATGGAATAGGTCACTCCACATCCTGCACAGTGCCCGAGTTCTTGCCGCAAGCTGGCACCAAGGGCAGGGATCGTGGTAGAGCGAACGGTCGTGGGATTTGGGATTTCAGCGTCTGGAGTTCTAGGGACAGGGTTCATAGTGAATGGTTGTAACGCTTGTAGGGGTTTCAGATCATGGCATTCCAACTTTGGTGGTCGCAGTTGCTGTAAGGTGGAAGGCTTCTTCCTGGTGCTTCTCCTCCGTGACTTGTGGATGGTGAGCTAGCAGGCTGTCAGATACAAGGATATCTACCTCCAACTGCCATACCTTACCCAGTTCTTCGTAGGTTCTGATTAGATTATAAGCCCTTGGAAGGGATTTATAGGAACCCTACGAAATTTAGGTTTCGGTAGTTCAAGGTGAGAGATGGTGGGTGTGAGGCGTACCCTGAACCAAAGCGTGCTCAGGAGGTTCTAAGGTTTGCGGCTTTCTGTGTTCGTCATTTTGGGGCCTCAGGCTGTATGTTTTGATGTTTTAGGGCCCAGGGTTCAGTGTCATGGGGATGATGTTGTTGTTGTTGTTGTTGCAACTGCTGCTGCTGCTGCAGTTTCTGCTGCAGTTGCTGTTGCAGTTGCAGTTGCTGTTGCTGTTGCTGTTGCTGTTGCTGTTGCTGCTGCTGCTGCTGCTGCTGGTGCTGTTGCTGTTGTTTTTGCTGTTGCTGTTGTTGTTGTTGCTGCTGCCACTGTTGGTTTTGTTGGATTCCAGGGTACTATTTGATAAGGAACGCTACAATGGTATTGTTCACATTAAACTTCCTCAAACCCTCAGCCCTAAACCCTAAAACCCCCAAGTATCAAAAAAAGAACTGCTGTGATTAGTGCCCTAATCATATAACGAAAAATAAAACTAGTATTGGAATAATGGCAATAACGAAAACAACAATAATAATCGTGGTGGTCATAATGATAAGAAGTAGCCGCAGTAACAAATACCATATTACTGTGGTGGAATTCGGGGCCAAACCCACCGAAACCTTGAGATGTCTCTTCAACCTCCATAGCCAAAATGCAAACCCAGCGGCCTTGCTGCTCCGAAGCTGTTCTAGTAGAGGTTGACTTTCTTGAAAACGATACATCCGAAAGAAACGACACCTTCGAACCATATTCCCTCAACCTTCACCCGAAACCCAAACCTGGAATATCGTAAAATGACACTCTACGGGCACTGCGCACCTTCATCTAGTTCAACGCCCACCCAGACCTGGAAGCATGTCCCAGATGTATGTAACGTGATGCAAGTTTGGGGGTTCGGGTTACGGGTTAGGGGGGGTTCGGGGTTGGCTCTGCGGTACCAACACAAATGAGTGCTTGCGCAAGCTAAAACCAAACAGACACCGAAAATGCGAAAAACGCTCAACGATGATAAACATGGTTTGGTGGGATCCGGGTGGTCCCAGCGCTCCTCTGCAGGATGGTGCCCACGAAATTCCAGCACTCCTCTCCTCTACGGTGCAACTCAAATCGGATTCGTCGGGGCCAGGCGGTACACCCTTTTTGCAATATGAAAACTTGGCTGACTTCTGAACCTTTCGTAAAAGTTAAACTTGTAGCCTTATCCATTATACTTCATATAGACACCCCCAAAAGTTAAAGTCCTAAGAGCCGACCTGAAGAACACAAAGAACAACTTGGAGTTTCTAGAATCAAGTCTGGAATGCGGCCGGAACAGTTCGATCTGGGGTGTTGAAGATGTATAAGGCCACAACCTGAACTCGACACCCCTAAACCCTACACTTGTAAGCCTCAAAGTCTCAAGACTTCAAGTTCCTATAGCTGCTCAACCCTAACACCATGAGAACTCCCACCTTCAATTCTCATGCATTCTGGGCATTGAAGTAACCAGGACCTAAAAAGCATAAACCTTGATTCTTTGATGTACTCCACAACCCGAGGCATGGCCGTCGCTGGGTGGCGCACTCCGGCGGCAAACTTTGTGCTGCCGGCGAAGCGCACTGTACCCAGGCGGCCGGCGACGGTCACCTGCAGGTGAGGTGTAGGAGTTCAGGGTTTATGGGAACCCCAAACCCCAAAACATTTCGGCCCTTATGGCCTAGAACCCTATACCCCTTAGATGGCCTAGTGTCGTTTAGTCTTTACGGCATAGTGTCTACTCGGAGGGTGAGTTTGGCGGTGTCAGGTTTCTGGTCCTTTGGGGCCGTTTCTGCACGCATCCTGCTGAACTGTAGGATGTTCCAGGGATTTCGCGTGACGAAGCGTCATAATGTAGGGGCCTTAATGATTAAATAACAAAAGGGATTTGAGGGGTTCCTTCACCTTTTTACAGTTATAGTGCCATATACGATCGAACCCTAATCTAATTCAGTCTAATCATTATAAGGCCCCAATATTAACATTCCCCGGAATGCAGACATTGGGAAACTGTTGGTATCCAAGCTGCAACGGTGGAGGCAACGGCTCGAAATCGTGGAGTAACAGCCTGTAAGCCTCCAGCGTTTCTGAATCCTCGCGACGAGCAGTCCGAGTTCTCAAGATAGCATGCCGCAAACCGACCAGTCGACCACTCGTTCTGCATATTTTCGACAACTGGGAATTTCCGAAAATAGGGGACCCTAATCTAGTACCCGAATCTGTAGGATCCGTATTATCAGGACCCCAGAAAAAGGTACCCCCCCAATTTTACGGAAACTCCCAACTACAACTCTAGGATAGTTCTCGGGCCTGCGGCCTAGGGGATGCAGGCATAAGGTCACAAGCCTGACGTGTAAGGTTCAAGGTCCAATCCATCACTATACTGAACTTAGAACCCTAGCAAAAAGTATGACTTTAGCTGCTTCTTAGGGATTATAATATCCAAAATTTAAAAATCATTTCTAAGTACCCCTAAGATCAGTTCTAACGTTGACTGCCCCAAAAAGAGAAGCTCTTAGTGCTCCTGTTGGGGATTTCGCAACCCTCAGCATAAACTTTCAATGAAGGCAGCCGTGCTCATCGCTCAAAACGTGCTTGCTCTGAGAAAGCAACACGACTACAGAACCGTGGGCGTAGCTTGCTGCTCTTGACACTGGCCATGAAGACGAGGCATGTGACAACGATGCGTATATGATGATGTTGACATTGAGGAGTAGGATATGACGATGGGAATGCTGAGGCGAGTTGCTGAGGAGCAGTGGGCTACGGCTACGCTGTTGGAACACATTCTCAAAAGCATAGTTATGACTCATCACATGAGGCAAAACAGTAGGACGCATGATGCTGAGGTCTAAGATGACATGGACAACGACTTCTCGTGACGATGACGATGACGATGCTGCTGATGAGGAAGAGGAACGGTGCTGAACTAACGGCGGTGAATCGTGGTCATAAGGCCGCGATCTGGACCTGCTTCGGCAGGTAGACCGCGTCAATTCCTACAGGCCCTTTCATCCATGTCTCTTCGCTCGTCAGGCCCTAAACCCTAAACCCCTAAACCCCTGAACCCCTGAACCCCTGAACTCCTGAACCCCTAAACCCTAAACCCCTAAACCCCTAAACCCCAAACCCCTGAACCCTGGACCCTGAATACTAGACCCTGAGCCCTAAACCCGGTTTCGAAGGTCAGCCTAGAACTGGTTTCGAAGATCAGACCACTGGATTCAGAAAAGGAGCCCGTTGGCCCAGGACGAAGGGAGCGTCTGTGACGGTGCCTGGAATCTTTTTTTTGTGGTATAGCGTCAATCCTAAACCCCGAACTCTAAAGAGACAAGTACGTATAAATGTAAAAGTGAATATAAACAGAAATATGTGTGTGTATACATAGATCTATACATAATATAGACGGCTAGGCTTCCTGTCTGAGTTCAGATGGACAGAAAAACCTTGCACATGCCCGCAGATGTCTGTAGCAAAACTATCGACCCACGCTTTAAGTCAAAGCTTCTCTCCTTGTTTCGTTTTGCTTGCTGCTTTCGATGGGTTGATGCCAAATTACATGATAAGACCTTCCAGCCTAAATCATACCACCTAACTTTTCCAGGGCTTAAACCCTATAGTGAACCCCAGAAAGTTGGAACATGGGTTCAGGAGGAATAGTGCTGGGATCCATTGTACTTTACCCTAAGGGCAAGACAAAAATTGTGTTCCAACTTTCTGGCTTCTACCATAAATCCGAAGCCCAGAAGCGTCGACTTGCATGCAGAATCCAAGGGCGTGGTTGGTCCAAACTTGCTCAGGCTCGCCAATATAAGGGACCCGTTACCGGCTCTTATAAGGGTCCAGATTTTGCGGGTTCCCTCACTAATTTACAGGCTCGATAGGGTATACACATGGGTGGTTGTCAAAATTAGGGCCCCTTTTTGGGTACCTGAAATATTGGGTGCTGTACTATAAAAGGAACCCAAAAGGGGACCATAATTTTGACAACCACCCACATGTTCTTTGGGTTTGGGGTTGGAGGCCCTCGCGCTTCGTGCCCAGCATGAAGGGATTATCACGTATAATGACTCTAAAGTACCCATCATACATCAGCGGTCCCGGATTTTCCTGAACCCGACCCAGAGAGCCCAATACCCCTTAATCAAGGAATAATAGACCTTAAACTAGAAGGGGGTTCATAATACGCCTTAAGCTATATTCCTTAATTCAGGGGTATTGGGCTCTTAGGGGAACCCTAAACCCTCAAACCCCCCCCCCCTAACGCTGAACCCTCAGACCCCAAAACCTAACCACTCGTCCCCAAACCCTGCACCCTCAACACCTCTAATTGAGCCTAAGCCCTGGCCCTACACCCTAGCTCCCAAACCCCAAAACCTAAACCCTCAACTCTCAATCCTATGGGCAGTTCTCTAAATTCGGGTTCCTTTTTTGGTACCCCAAAAAGACCCGAAAAGGTTGGTCCCCCAAAGAAGACCCTGAAAGGGACCCTGTCTTAAAGGACTGATCCCGAAGCGGCCGCCTTGACTTCCAAGAGCTGACATCCAAACCCGGAAGCTTCATCGTCATCGAGGCAGGCTGAAATCATAATAATAGTAATAATGATTAATAATGATAATAGTAAGAAGAAGAAAATAACAACTATAATACTTATTTTCTTATACTAAACATGAGAAGAGGAGGAAGGTATAAGCGAAGCAATACTGAGCATAGCATAAACCAGTACAACCCAAGATGAGGTCCTATACGTAGACCATCAAGCACGAATAAGCGTAAAAATCTAGAAGTTAAACCCCAAACCCTGAACACCCTACCCTAAACCCCAAATCCTTGTCCCTAAACCCTAAATCCTAAACCCTGAACACTAAGCCCTAAACCCTAAATCCTCAACCCTCAACCCGAAAGGTCCCAAAACCTTTAAGGGAACTTTAGAAAGTTGGAATATGGATTAATGGTAGGATCCCCTATAATTTACCTTAAAGGGGTTACGATAATGATATTCCAACTTTCTGGCTTCTACTGTAAAGCCCTGAAGCCCCAAAGTCAGCTGAGGAGCCCAGATCGCCCTGCGAGCTTCGCGCCATGGCTTGGAAGGATACCAGGGAGCAAAACGGGCTCAGGGCTTATTAGGTTTAGGGTCTAAGTCTAGGGTTTATTGGCTTTAGGGTTTGGGGTTTATTAGTTTTAGGGTTGAGAGTTTAGGGCTTTTGGGGTTGAGGGTTTAGGGGTTTAATGGGCTTTAGGGTTTTGGGTTACCAAGAAGGGTATGGGTTTGGGCTTAGGGTTTTAGTTGGGGGTTTAGGTTTGGGATTTCAGGGTCTAGGGCCCTTTAGGGTTAGATGTAGGGTTTATGGATACTAAGATGGGCTTTGGGTTTATTGCTTGAGGACTGTGAAATCTGCGTCCATGCCACTTCCAGTATGGCTTTCCTACTTAGAGGATCATGGGACTTAGTAGCTAGGGTTATAGTTAAGGGAACTATACTCATAATTACTTATAACCCCAATTGAGGTACTTATAACCATACTAAGTCCCATGAACCTCCAAGTAAGCTGCGCTCATTTTGGGCTTGGCGCTCTGGAGGCCTTAGGGCGCTGGGAGCTCTAGGGTTTGGGACGCAAGAACTTATTGGGCTTAGGGCTCTAGGAGCACTGTTTAGGGTTTAGGGACTTTTAGGGGTTTAGGACTCCGGGCGCTCTAGGGGTTTAGGGCTCTGCGGGCTTTAGGGGTTTCGGGTTAAGGGGCTTTCGGAGATAAGGTGCTTCACGACACTGAGGGCAAAGGGTTCCGGGTTAGTCGTCAGGTGTATGCGCAGAACATACCCACAAAATCTTATTCTGATTATTCAGGCGGCTACATTGATAAGTGGTGGCAGTACCAGTAGCAGCCGGAGTAGGAGAAGCAGTAGGACTCACTGAGCCCCGAAACCTAAACACTCCAAGGGTAAAAGGAGGGACCCTTCATACGGATCCCTAGGTATATACTCTTAATATAACTATTATATACCCATCATATAGCCCATTGTAGGGTAGGGGTCCCTATTAAGGGTCCCTCCTTTTCCCCTTTGAAACACGGCAAGAAGGAGGTTTAGGACAAAAGCGACTACTTGGTTCTCTTGGCGGAAAGGACGCCATCACAGCACAAAAGAAGAACAGATCCTCGCCCTGCTTTGTGGTTTCGGATTCAGGGTACGGAGAATAAGAGGTTTAAGGTCCCGGGAATGCTCAAGCTTCTGATAATTATGAGGTTTCTTTCAGGTCTGAGGGGTCCATTTGGTGAGCTCTTTAAAAATGAGCATGCTATGATTCGGGATTATGTCTTTAGGGGCCCTGATGTTATGCGGCTCCAACGTGCTTCGCAGTCTTTTCATGGAACTTGGCTTCTTGCCGTTGGAGCTTGGGAACCGGAGTACCTTACCCAGATCTTCCTTGCACCAGACATCTGCTCAAGTTCGAACGACAATTATACTTTCAGCTAGGGCATCAGCTCCTGCAAGCCTTGGGGTTTGCAAATCAACCCAATGCTGGAATCATACCGACGGAAGGTCTGGGAACGCTCGGAACTAGCTATGGTCACAGCATGTCACAGCACACACATGCTACTCACCGCAGAGCCAAACCCTGCTAGCCCCCATTACAAGGCTGCCAGAGGCCTCACCGTGAGCCCTGAAAACCACAATCCCACGGACTCTCGGGGAAATCCTGCACACTCGTAGGTCACGACCCCTTTTTCGTAAGGATATTGACACCCCTCCAAACCCTCCAAAATAGTAGGTTATGACCCCTTTCTTCAAGGGTATTATAACCCCTACAGCAGTGTTTTTGGGACCCCGGGGGCAGATCCCAACCTCGTAATATGTAACCCATGATCCCAGTATTTGAGTAATTGGAGCCCTAGGGATGTATAGAAACCCTAGCAGCCTGGGCCCTAAACCCTAAAATAGAGTTTATAGACCCTACAAACTAAGCTTACCTGGACCCCAACAGTATGTAGAACAATAGTCTTTGATAGGTATTGGGCCATTATTCTACCTACTTCTGGGGGGTTTAGGAAACAGCTCCAGGATGAGCTAAACCCTAAACCCTAAACCCTAAACCCCTAAACCCTAAACCCCTAAACCCTAAACCCTAAACCCTAAAGTGGCCGTCCTCAGAGTCCCTCGCGGAGCCTGCACGTTGCCGCTCCGGCGTCATAGCAAGTTCTCTACGGCTTAGGATTGGGTGGTTTAGGGTTTAGGGTTTAGGGGTTTAGGGTTTAGGGGTTTAGGGTTTAGGGTTTAGGGGTTTAGGGTTTAGGGGCTTCCATAACAACCCGCAATAAGGGTGACCATTAAGGGCCCTATATAGCTATACCGCAAGTATTGCTTCTTACTGAGTGGGGGCAGTGTCTAAGTTTAGGATTCTTTGAGGGCTCAAAGTCGGTTCTATGAAGGTTCTAGACGGGTTCCACGAGGATTCTATAGGGCCTCTATGGCACTTCTATAAGCACCTCCGTATTATAAGAATTCCACAAGGGCTTATCAGGGTTCCACGAAGGTTCTGAAGGGGTTTAGTAACGGTGTTGGATCTCAGCATTTGATGTTTTGACATTTTCTGTGTTTACAGTCTGGGTTTCGAGGTTTGGTTTAGGGGTGTTGGGTTCTTATGTTGAACTACGATGCACTGCCTCCTTGTTCAAGCGTTGAAGCACTTACATATGGTGTAAGGTATCAAGGAAAACCCTTTAAAACCTCTGTGTGTGTACATTCATATAGGCCCGGAATGAGGTTTAAACCTGCTTGAAACGCACGTTCTAGTAACACCAAGGATTAAATGCCCTTAGATTAAGACCGTCCACTAAGGGAGGCCACCGAACTTGGAAGTCTGAAACCTAAAACCCGAAGCCCAGACCTAGTCCTCCGGAGCAGGCGCTTCGTAGTGGAGACCCCTTTTTGTTTTAAAGATCCCTTCTAGACCCCCTTTTTTTTAAGATCCCTTCTAGACCCCCTTGTTCGAAAGATCCCTTCTAGGACAGGGTGGTCTATCACAGACGTTTTGAGTGTCAGGGCCTTCGGGTTTAGGGTTACAGGAAATTTGCCTGAACTTCAAGGGCTTCAGGGGCTTGGGGGTTGGCTTCAGGGATCTTTGTTGTGTTCAGATCCGAAGCCCTTGAAAATTCCAAGGCTTCCACAGGCCCAAGAACCACCCTACACTCCCATGAACCCTAAACCCTACACCCTGAACCCTAAACTCTACAGTGGACTCTACAGCACAGCCTTGGGGCCCTAAACTACCACAGCCACCTACAGTAAACCCCTTAAAGTTGGAAACCCACTTCTTCTGGAGACTTCAGACTGGAATCCCTATTTTGGTGGCTATAATCGGTATCATGTTATGAAGACGTTATAGTAAACCCGATAAAGTTGGAAACCGGATTAAGGCCAACATAGAGCTGGGATTTCCCTCTACATTACTCTTAAGGATTGAGGCTATGGGGCTTCCAACTTTTGGGCTTCTACTGTAAACTTGAACTGCAGAAAGTTGACACCCTGAGGGTTTCGGTTCCACGTGGGTGGTTGTCAAAATTAGGGCCCCTTTTTGGGTACCCTAAGTATTAGGTGCCGTACTATAACAGGGACCAAAAAAGGGACCATGATTTTGACAACCAGCCATGCGGTCTCGGTCCTTGCCTTGGGGGTATAGGGCGCTTGGTTCTGGGATTGTTCGGAGCTTCTGGCGTTGGGTGTTACCCTCCTGTGGGGTTAAGGGTGAGGCAAACCCTATAAACCCTAAAACCCTGAACCCTAAATTCAAAAACCCTAAACCCTAACGGCTGGACATGTTCAAGCTTTCCAGGGCTTGGGGTTTCGGGTTGAACTTTTGAACCGTACTATTGAAGGTCGGTGAGCTCTCGTGAGCCTTAGAGCCACTATCTCACTATCATCATGGTTACAAGCCTAAAAACCTCTAATAATAAAATGATAACCCTAAACCCTAAACCGATGATCAAGGGTACTATGAAGCATAGAAGGTCCTATACGGGTTTATGATCATTCTCAGCGAATATATCTGCTTGAGGAGGCGTTTTCGAAGAGGGGACTCCTTCATGATCGCCATTGAAGTACCAACCCTAAACCCGAATAACCCTATATACATGGGGAGTTTCCAAAATAGGGGGCCCTAAGATAGTACCCTAAATCGTAGGATCCTTGTTTTAAGGACCCCAAAATAAGGTACCCCTATTTTCAGAAAACTCCCACATGTACACCCCCAAGCTCCAAAACCCGGACGCCCGAAGCCAGCAACCCTACAATCCTGAATCCTAGGACCCTAGCTAGTTCTAAGCCCTCATTCCAAAGAGACCATGGTAGAACCCTAGCCAGAACTCTACATGCCTATGTAAAACATCATAGCACTCTAAACCTTGAGAGGGACGCCCAGAAGGAGCCTGACAAGGAACCCTCCAATGAACCCTGCAACGGAGACTTTTAGGCTTCCTTTATGGGGTTCCTTTCAGGTTATCCTATGGAAGGGGCCCCCACCCTGTAAAAGTGGTATAATAGCAATATAATACGGCCCTAATATAATCCTTATAGTCCCTACTACAGGGTGGGGGCCCTTCTAAGTTATCCTGGAAAAAGGAACCCTCAAAAGGAACCCTAGCCCTAGCAACTTTTCTCAGCGTGCCAGCCAGCTCAATGCCCAAAATGCCCAGAAGCTGTACAGCTTGCTCGCCCCGATGGCCAACCTCCTCAGGAAGTCGGCATTTAACTGCACTGAGCTTAGACCCCTACCAAAAATACATAATTCTAGCTGTTTCTTAGGGGTTAGAATAACAAGAGATTCAAAAAACATTTCAAAGTACCCCTAAGATAACTACAATTATATCCCATATTAGGGGACTTATAACTCCACTTACAACTACCCATGAACCTCCAAATTAGGGCTTAACTTTCAGGAGCTTAGGGTTGGGGTTCAGACTTTCGGGTTCAGGATGCGTTCTGCGGTTTGGGGTTTATTGCCCTGGGAATGGCTCCGTGCTAAGAGCGCCGTAGCCCATACTGGCGTCCTCGTAGTTCCGGATTTCGGACCCGGAAGCCCTCAACATCACTGAGCCCTGCACGTGTCGAACGCTGGAGCTTCACATAGGGATGCTTCAATGGAAACTGTCGGGTTCCAGCTTTCAACACCGCGAGACCCTGAAGAGATAACTCTTGTCTTCATGGCCCCCTCCTCAGTCCTGAATTCTGTCAACATCCTGACGTCCGAAACCCCTGCAACCTTCAATCCCTAAATGGCCGTAAACCCGTTCTTTCGCAGTTTCGTAGAACTCTTGCAGTAGCCGTCAGTAATCCTTCTAGAACCCCCCAATCCATGAGCTTGAGCTCCCGCCTTTGACGAGCTATGCCAAGCGTCTAGAGCGAGACTGGCTGAAATGAAGCTGGTACTGTCCGGCGTGCAGTGGCTCATCGACATCTCCTGGAAACTCGACTAAGGGTCCTAAGCAAGACAGGCGACGTCAAGTGATACATGGCAATATGTACAGCAAAAACGCAGCAAGGGCCATGCCCCCGGTTGTCTTCTTCGTCACCGTTTGTCACCACCATCCACATCATCATCCCGTGCATGGTCAGAACAAGCATCATCAATCCGAGAAGGTACCACTGACATGTGGCTATTCTATCGCATGTGTCGTGTGAACAATGTGCTGATCCGTCCATGCATGATCTTTGTGCCCATTTGTGTCTGTCCCTGAAGGGGTTCTGGTTCAAGCATAGCGCTCTGCACGAATGCAAGCGGATAGTCGAACGAGCTAGGTACAGCTAGGTGGCTTTGGCAGCATCGACCTGGACAGTGTAAACTGGTAGGTCTTAACTCGAGCCCGCGATGGTGTAAAGAACTTAGTGTAATGAGTGCGTTGGCAAGCGCTCACGTTTCACCAGAGCTAAGATCTCTGGTTTTTGCATCATTGGGTAAGATAGTAAGAAGAGTGTGCATCGCTATGTGAACGGCCCTTGCCTGAAAAGGGTCTGATCAAGTCAAAGCAGAATGGGAGTTTCCGAAAACAGGGAACCTAATATAGGACCCTAGATAGTAGGATCCTTACTCTAAGGACCCCAAAATAATGGTACCTCCAATTTTCGAAAAACTCGCGAATCGGGAACCCGCGAAGTTCTTGGACGGCAGCCAAAAATGGCAGTCTTCCGGGATACAAATACAAACTTGTACGACAGATGCTAGCTTCTTAGTATACTGTTAGATACCGCATATGTGTGAAACGGAAGATAAGTTAAACCTCATTCCTTAATCTCGTCACCTCTCGTTCATGCAAACCCACAAGCCCATGCTTACACGCTCTAGGTCCTTCTGCTCATACACTTTAGAACATATCTAGCTCTATATGCTCTTAAACTTCAGACATCCCTCAGCCCGAAAACCTAATTCCGGAAACGACATGCCATCCTCGAGTAGCCAGACAGCCATGCGCCACTTGGCCACTTCGGCGCAGGCCTGTTCGGTTTGCATCGGTTTTAACCATCAGACACAATGTGCTGCATTCGCTTTTACCGAGCTGTTGCAGGGTGTTCCGTAGCAGCCTTAGCAGGTGGAATCGGGCACTTGGGTGAATGAACTATGCGATACTTTTTAGGAGTTGACTCCATGCAAGTCAGAAGCAGGACATATCCAACAACAGCTCAAATCCTCGAACCACAAATTCTGCACAGTCTGCTGCCTGCAGTGCTGCATTGAAGCTGATACGGCTCGGGGTGACGAAACTGCAGGCCATGTCCTGAGGATGCTCCAATGCTTTGTTTGCGGTTTGGGGTTTAGGAAGCTCTTCTGTCGAACAATGGCACGGTACCACACTCGCGCCCTGGTCTGCGATTAACGAGGACTGTGACTAGGTTCAAAGGTAATCTGATATGTCCTATGATTGCATGTACCCTAGTACTACTACTGCTGCTGCTGCTGCTGCTACTACTACTACTACTACTACTGATACTACTACTACTACTACTACTACTACTACTACTACTACTACTACTACTACTACTACTACTAGCAATAATACTACTACTGCTACTACTGCGTGCCTACTGCTGCAACTACTACTGCGTAAGCTTCACATGTCTGATGGCACTCCAACTCCTGCTAGAAAGCCCCAACACCACGCCTCACAAACCAAAAGCAGAAGCAGCAGGAGGAGGCGAAGCGACAGTGAGCAATAGGAGTCGTCGCCGTCCTCGTCGTAACAGCAGGAGTAGAGGAACAAAAACTCGTAATGCATCATAAAGGATACAGACTTGTTCCACCTGACGAGGTCATCTCATGTTCAAACCATGCAGACAAGCCCGTGAACACGTACTGCCTACAGTGTTTGAATGAAACGTGCGCATGCCGCCGAAGTGAAACTAAGAACTAAAAGCAGCGAGTTGTTGGTGGTTGTTGCCGTCATTTCGCAGTATGTCGCAGGCTCCACTTTTATTGTTGTGTCACCATCCTCATTATTTTGGCGGCATGAAACCACATCCTCCAGGCCCCTGCAAGGCACTGATGTCGTAGACGACACCACAACAGCACGATGCATTAGAATAGAGTTTTGGTGTTTTTACTATAAATTTCAATAGGAACTCCCAAGATATAGGTAAATAATTATCGTAACAGCAAAAGCCACCTCATCATGGAAACCCAATGCAGTTAAACATAACGCTATAAACCTTAAACCCCTAAATCCTAAAACCCAGAAACCATCTGAACCCTGAACATCCATAAGCCAACCACCGCCTGGATGGGAGTTTCCGAAAAGAAGGGGTCCCTTATTTGGGGGGGGTCCTTATAATAAGGATCCCACCATTTAAGGTCCTGTACTAAGGTCCCCTATTGTTGGAAACCCCCGGATCCCTTCAGCCCCAAAGTCAAGTCATTTCACTGCGAAACAAACCGCCTGCTGTTGATGCCCAGCGGCGCATAGCAGATGCAGCGACCAGCGCCTGCTGGGCATTCACATGGGAGTTTCCGAAAATTAGGGGTACCTTACTTTGGGGGTCCCTATAATAAGGATCCTACTATTTGGTGCGTGGGGATTTGATCTCGATTGTGTTGCTGCTCTCCCCACCAGAGCTGTAATGAATGTAGGTGTGGCTGGCTTGCACTCTCCACAGACTGGGACCCTGTCTCTCTCACACTTCCACACTTGCAATCCTATGCAGGCAGAACCGGCGGCCGTTCCTTTTGCATTCGCTGCCGGCGGCGGTTCGTCTGTGCAACGGGATAGCTCTGATTGCTCAGGATAGAAGACACATATAGCACTTAGCTATGGGCATTGACTTGAGCCAAACGTTGCGTGGGCGGTCACATAGAAAGGTAAGGAGAAGCGATGTGCGTAGCACGTCCACAAGCTTACTCCTAGAGTCGAGGGACGCGTAGCGTGCCCCCTTAGAGTCGAGGGACGCGTAGCGTGCCCCCTTCCCTTGCACTTTACATGGTCTTGCTCACAGCTCTTATAGTGACACCTTAGAACTTGACAAGGCATCGCAGTCCGTTCGCACCCCCCATGAGTTGCGTCTCCGACGCTGCTCACCCGGAAGATGGCACGATAGGACAACAGAAAATGTTCCGCCGCAACGTTGACATTGAAAATCAGAGCTTTGCATCCCAATTAGAAACGTTGTGACACTCATCTACGTCAGTAACGATCCCCTGAAATGGCAAACGAATCAGGCGTCACCGAAGAAAGAAGCATTCGCGATGGCATTCCACGGGCGAAGCTCAGAGGTCACGAACTGAAAGGCGAGGCAGACCAAGCGTTGATTCATCTCCATCTTCGCGTGGTCGCAGGATCGCGGTCCCAGGGCCGGAGGTTTTCCTCTGGATACTGTTCCCTTTGCTTTCCTTTGTCCTTGCCTTTGTTTCGGCCTTTGCCGGCGGTGTAGTCGTAGTAGGAATTGGAGTTCCAACCTCCATGCTGCTCACCTCCGGTTCTTTTGAAGGTCCCTTGGCCGAAGAAGCGCTTGCACGTTCCTCCGTAGTGACAGGCGTGTCCAGGATGGAAGTACCACCTGGAGGGAGATAGTCAGCGGCCGAGATGTGATGTAGGGCTTCAGTACGTTTGGTTGTCGGATTTTGCTGTCTCTCAGCCTTGGATCTGACCAATCTGTCCATGAAATGCGCAGGCATTTGCACATTGTGATCCACCAGCAATCCAATGGTCTGGACTGAATGATCGGCATGAGTCAGCAGGATACCGACGGGGTCGATGTACAGGAAGTCCACCGGTCCAGTTGGCGTTGGTCGTAGCACTGAGAATTGTTGGTGTCCTGTCACCATCGGAATCACCTCGCACAGGACGTTCAGGCAACAGAAGTGCATAGCCTTCACATCTTCATCCCTGTTGCTCTTCAAGTACGTAGTAGGGTTGAAGTTGTCCCTGCCAATTCCCATCATGTTGGCTCCCCGTGTAAGCAACGAAAGCATCTGATTCGTCCGGAAGCGCTTCAAAGTGTAAGTCCCGTTGGGATCGTACTGCTTGAGGTTCTCAGGCTCCTTGGCAAAGCGAATGATCTCCTCGTCAGTCACATCCCTGCTCACACCCGTCTCTCTGTCTACCACAGCCAAAGATCCCCATTTTCCGAGCACATCATAGCGTTGGCCAAGTGCGAAATTCTCTTTCATCTGGAACAACGGCATAGTCGCCCACTTCGCGAATCCTGACCAAGCCTTGTAGATGGTTCTGCATACCACGAATGCCATATACGAAAGAGCGGCCATGTTGGCGTCAATGCAATGGGCATTTCGCTTTCCTGAGTAGTAGGATGGCTGCATGGCGGTACGTGCGAGTTGTAGTTCAGGATCGATGTTCAAAGACTGGCCGGCGATGAGGACGGGACGTCGTTCCTGTGCAACTGCATCTGGTACTGCGTCATCAAAGTCCTCTCCTGGCTCTGTGTCCATTTCTTCATCAGGTTCCTGTTCTGGATCGTCCTCCGCGATGACAGATGGTTCTGGGATTTCCTCAGGTTCCGCAACGGTCTCTACCTCCATGGCTTCCTGCTCCTCGACGGTCGCCTCAGGCACTGCTGCTGCCGCAGCTTCCATTGTCTGAGCAATGAAGTCACTGGGGATCTCCGTAGGAGTCTCCCGTTGTGGAGAACCTTGGTAGTATCCGCAAGAAACGAATTGTGACCAGCAAGACGTGCATCGGGAGAAGCATGCTGGAACGATGTTGTAGCATGCCGGGCACACCCTCATTCTCCTTCCATCCTCGTCTCTGCGTAGGTCTTCGGGTCGCCAATTCTTGATGACAAACTTGATCCCTTTGTCCATGTAGTGATGCCGAACCGTGTTCTCCCTGTGGGACTCCAGGACAGTCGTAAGGTCTCGAATGATCTGCTCCTTGCTGGTGTCGTGGGGTCCAGGAGGCATCTCGCAAAGCAATTCCATGATCTTGCTTGGTGTTCGGTATCTCTCGAACTCAGGGAGCAAAGGTGATGCATTGTAGTCCAACACCATCTCTTTCTCCAACCGTTCATCGTAGATCTTTTCCACCAGAGCGAAAGAGTGTGTATCTTGAGGATTCGGGACGCAAAACCATACCTCCTTGACGAACTGGAACGGTATCGTTCGGCCAACGATCATGATGCCGCTGTCTGTGATACGTCCATCTTCTCGTGCAAGGTCCTGCGATGGGACATGGAGGACCGCCAGCGGCATGTGCTTGGCTTCTCGTCCATGTACCCGCATCTTGGTCGTCGCATTCCGGTGATCGAACGGTGCGAATACCCCCCAATAGCTGTGGAGTCTGCCGCCTTGGTTGCCTCGAAATTGGCGCCTATGGTCGAAGTCCCCGTCGGGGTCCTCCGAACCAGGCATGATGCCTTGCGTGACAATGGAATCCAGGTTGCGGCATGCCGTAGCGTGGAACGCGCCTCCAAGACGTTGCAAGAGGGTCATAGATGGAGATATTGCGAACCTGTTCTTGTCCAACTGAAGCAAATTGTTCTGGGGATCTGAGTGCGCAGAGTGACCACTTGTAGCCCGAACTGCCCATGGCTTCACCCAGCCGTTGCAAACGTTCAGGTACCTCTGGCTGTGCCGGCAACGATCATTGTTCTGGATCTCTGTGATCTGGTCAGGAATCGATACCAACATGTTCGAGCCTGCGGATCCAAGAGTCTCCGTGCCGGGGTCCTTCACTCTCACTCCCAGGAACTGCAGCCGAATCTTGGCCTTGTGGCGTCTCGTGGCTGCGAGCATGTTCCCTTGGAACAATAGCTGGAGTCTTTCATTGTACACTCTCTTCCTCTGTTGATCATCGGTCCTTGAGACCGCTTCGGTGATGCGTCTGCTGTCATGGGTCCATAGTTGCTCATGCCTCACCAAATCCTCGATCAGCACCCACCCTCCTTCATCACATCGAATGACGCTGCTGAATGCCACCTGGCACCTGTTGTCAAGCCATTCCGAGCCTGGGCGCCTGGCGATTCTGTGACGCAGGTCAGATTGAATGCATGATAGCGCCCAATCCGCGTTCCTTCTTCGATGATGGGTGATGTTGCGAAGGACAACTTCGTTCACGATGTCCCATCGATTGTGGATGAAGCTTGCACCCTTGGTTGGGATCAGGTCGAGAATCCCGCATCGGATTGGCCTTCCGCCGCCGATGCATTCGTAGCCTGCATTGGTGTAGCCCTGAATAGTATCATCATATTCAAAGCTAGGACGGTCTCCTCGTTGAGGTAGGCGTCGGTCGCGATGGTCCGAAAGCTGCTCAATGAGGTCCACCACCCGCTGGCTGTTCTCTGGTCCCATGTCCTGCAGTGGTACGCCACAAGCATCATGTAAGCCCCGACGGTTCTCCACATCCGTGCAGAGATTGTGTTTGTTCTCGTAACGGATCAAGACCACATCACCCCGTACGGCTTCGCCTCCGCGTCGCGGTCGGGCTTTGGCCTTGGGTCGTCGGTCCGAGGATGCAACACTCACATGGTCTGTGGTGTCAACGTCCATTGGCTCATCTTGCTGTGGAGGTACTCGACGTGGATATCGAAGAAGGCTTTCCTTGATGATCTGGATGCTTCGAAGTATCAGATCCCGGGTCGCAGCATTTTCCGTGCAATTGGACAGATGGTGTTGATCACTGCCACAAGCGATACAGAACGTGAGTCTATCGCTTCCGACCGACATTTCGCCCTGAGCGAGTACTCCCACATAGTCCTGAAGCTGCGCGACAAATCCTTCACGAATCATCTGCCTGGGATCAGGGTCTTCTGCACCTTGTTCTTCTTCGGGTTGCGCATCCACATCTACATCCTGTGCAGGTATTGGTGGAGCAACGGAGAACCCTGGATCGTCCGTGACGTTGTCAGCGGCCTGTGTCTCGTCGGTTCTCGCAATCTCTACGGGGTAGATATCGCCATCGACGATCACTGTGAAGTCAATCACGAGGTCAGCGGACATGTTGTTGACGATCTCAGCGACTTGTTCATTCTTCTTGGGCGGTGTCCTCTTGCGCGGGGAGTCAACCGTGATCAGCTCGATAGCTTCGGCCGACGCGTAGCGGAAGAATGATCTTTCGATCCCCCTCACGCACGCATTTGCCCCCTCAAGGCCACCCCAATTTGGAAAATGACTTGGGTGTCTCATTGCAATTGTAAGAAGCCCGAGTGCCAGCTCCACCGTGTCACCCAGGAGTTCCTCCTTGGGCAAGGCTGACCCTCTGTAGCATTCTTGGCGCTCCTCCGGAGTCAAAAGCATTCTCATGAAACCAGCATAAGCGCAGTTCCCGGCATCGTAGTAGCAGATGTAGCATGTCTTGCCTTCGGAGTCGTATCCTCTGTCCCATGCCAACTGTTTGGCCTTTCCCCATGCCGCGTACTCGATGGCCTGACTGGCTGTGATTCGGAGACCACCGTAGTGAGAAACCGTCTTGCCAATGTCTTCGTAGACCACTTCCGCACAAGCTTTGAGGAACTCCTTGATGTCCATGCGAGGG